TGCGCACAAACCCTAAACCCTAAACCCTAAACCCTAAACCCTAAACCCTAGGCGCTGGACCGGGGCCCCAGTGCGGGAAGGAAGCATTTGCCCACGCGAGGGGCCCCAGTGGTTTGCGCAGGGCCAGCAAACACGCATACGCTGCGCACAAACCCTAAACCCTAAACCCTAAACCCTAAACCCTAAACCCTAAACCCTAGGCGCTGGACCGGGGCCCCAGTGCGGGAAGGAAGCATTTGCCCACGCGAGGGGCCCCAGTGGTTTGCGCAGGGCCAGCAAACACGCATACGCTGCGCACAAACCCTAAACCCTAAACCCTAAACCCTAAACCCTAAACCCTAGGCGCTGGACCGGGGCCCCAGTGCGGGAAGGAAGCATTTGCCCACGCGAGGGGCCCCAGCGGTTTGCGCAGGGCCAGCAAACACGCATACGCTGCGCACAAACCCTAAACCCTAAACCCTAAACCCTAAACCCTAAACCCTAGGCGCTGGACCGGGGCCCCAGTGCGGGAAGGAAGCATTTGCCCACGCGAGGGGCCCCAGCGGTTTGCGCAGGGCCAGCAAACACGCGTACGCTGTGCACAAACCCTAAACCCTAAACCCTAAACTCTAAACCCTAAACCCTAAACTCTAAACTCTAAACTCTAAGCCCTAAACCCTGAGCTTGAGAGCTCAATTTCGGGAATGAGGGTACGGGAGAGGATATCTTGGCCTAGAGTGAAATACGTCGCTTAGCCACGCTGTGGAAGCGAGACCTTAAACCCTAAACCCTAAACCCTAAACCCTAATTCATGAACCCCAATGTCTAGGCCCTAAACCCCAAACCCTGAACCCTAAACCGTAAATTCTAAACGCTAGTCCCCAAAGCTTAAACCCCAAATTCGAAGGCCTAAACCCTAAGCCCCAAAGCCTAAACACTAAATCCCAAAGCCCAAACCCTAAACCCTAAACCCTAAGGCCTTGAATTTTGAATGGCTGCGATCCTCTTGCAGTGCTGTGAAATTGGGGAAAAGGGAAGTGAGGGGCAAGGAGTGAAAGGAAATAAAAAGATAAAAAAAGAAAAAAGATAAAATAAAAAAATAAAAAATGAAAAGAAGAAGAAGAAACAAAAGAGACAACAGAAAGGAGACAATAAAAACAAAAAGAAAAGGAAAAAGAGAAAAAGAAAAAAAAAGAAAAACGAAAAAAAGAAAAATGAAAGGAGGCAAAAGAGATATAAAGAACGAGAAAAAGATGAAACAAAAAAGGAAAAAGGACAAAAAGGAAAATCGAAAATACTAAAAAGAGACAAAAAGAGATTAATCTAGAAAAGAAGCCAAGAAGAGACCACAAAAGACAATAAAAGACAAAAAAGATAAAAAGAAAACGAGAAAAAAGAAGATGAATGGAGACACAAAGAGGGAATTTAAAAAGGAGACAAAAGGAGACAAAAGGAGACAAAAAGGGACAAAAAAGTGGAAAAAATTCAAAAATACTTTTTTTTCGGACTTGTTTCTCTGGCGAGGGCGCGAACATCTGCAGGAGATCCTTGAAAAGACAAAAAGACAAAAGGGCCTTTAAAGGGACTGGAGGGTCTTGTGAAGTTGGCGGGTCTTTTGTGGGGTTTGGGTGCTGCGTCGATTTGCTGCTGCTGCAGCAGCAGCAGCAGCTGCTGCTCGCACGGCGGCAGTGCAGAAGCAAACGCCTGCTGCACCAGAGACACTGCAGCAGACCAGCTGAAAAGGGGACTTTTCCAATTCCCCCGAACTGGAGACAAACGGTCCGAAAAACTAAAGGACTGCAGCAGCAGCAGCGCAGCAGCAGCAGCAGCAGCAGCAGCAAACAGACACAAAGCTGCTGTGCAACGGGAAGTAAAATGCTGCAGCATCAGCAGCAGCAGCAAACAGACACAAGGCCGCTGCAGCAGCAACAGCAACAGCAGCAGCAGCAATAACAACAACGACGACAACAACAACAGCAATACCAGCAGCTGCAGCAGCAGCACCAAAGCAGCACCAAAGCAGCAACAAAGCATCATCACGACCATCATCATCACCATCACCACCATCAGCAGCAGCAGCAGCAGCGGCAGCAGCAGCAATAGCAGCAGCAGCAGCAGCAGCAGTACTGGGATATGGGAGAGTTGCTGCAGCAGTTGCTTTTTGAGTGCGTAGAAGCGGCGGGCGAGTGAAGGGCCTTCGAGGCGAACAGCAGCAACAAGAGCAGCAGCAGCAGCATCGGGAACCCCCAGCAGCAAATTTCGCTTCGATCGCAGAAACTGCAGCCACAAACGCGAGGGTTTACGAAGGCTTACTAGAGTTTGCGAGAGTTTGCGAGGGTTTACGAGGGTTTGCGAGGGTTTGTGAGGGTTTACGAGGGTTTGCGAGGGTTTGCGAGGGTTTGTGAGGGTTTGCGAGGGTTTACGAAAATTTGCGAGCGTTTGTGAGGGTTTGCGAGGGTTTCTGAGGGTTTGTGAGGGTTTGGAGACAAAAAAGACAAAATGGAGAAGGAAGGAGGGAAAAGAGGAGACAAAAAAAGAAAGGGAGAAAGGAAAAAAAAGAAAAGGAAAAAAATAAAAAGAAAACAAAAAGAGACAAAAACAAGAAAAAAGGATTAAACAGGAAAAGAAAAAAAAACAAAAAAGAAAACAAAAAAAACAAAAGGAGAGAGAGAGAATAGACAGCGCATTTGAAAATGGCTGCGCATGCTCTCAGTGGTTTAGGGTTTAGGGTTTAGGGTTTAGGGTTTAGGGTT